ACTATTGATCCATATACCAACAAACCTGAAATAATTCTAGATTATAATATGACCAAAGGGGGTGTGGACACAGTGGACAAAATGTGCAATACTTATTCTGTTGGAAGAAGAACAAAAAGGTGGCCATTGGCTTTCTTCTTTCAGTTGCTAAATATAGCAGGCATCAATAGCCAAATTTTGTATAACGGCACTCACCCTGAATCTCCTCACAAGTCCAGAAGAATTTTCCTGAAAACTCTTGCTCTGTCATTGATGAAACCTTTTCTTTCTGAAAGAGCTGCAATACCTACGTTACCTATAGATATCAGACATTTCCTATCCAGATATAGACAAACTCAAATGGATGAAGAAGAGGAGCCACCCAGAAAAATTAGAGGAAGATGCTCCATCTGCGCCCGAAAAAAAAAATAGAGTTACCACAATTACATGCAGCATTTGTCACCAGTTAGTGTGTAAAGAGCATAGTGTCAACGTTATCACCTGCCACAAATGTAAGGAAGGCGGATCCCATAGTGAATAGAGAATTATTAATTATGGTTGTTTTTTTCAATTTATTTTTACTGTCTTATTTGATTTTGTTTACTATTTTTGCTAATAAATATGTATTTGAGTTCAACAGTTGCTCTTATTACCACAGCTATAACTTATAGGGCAAACAAAACATATATTTGGATCATAACTTGCAACGGTGTACAAAATACACCGCGCGAGTAGTAACGTGAAATAAAAATGCGCGAGTAGTTAAAGGTTAAAATCAATAGAGTCAATGATACAAAATATTCACGAGTTTATCTAGATCCTCACTTGAGATTGGACGTACATATTTCTTATATAGTAAAAAAATAGATTCATAGCATGTAAAATAACTTACTGGTATATTAACTGAATATTATCTACGAATAATATATCAAGCTTTGCTTTTGCATGCACGAAGTACCTTAACGATTTAGACGAACTTCAAAGAACAATTTTAAAATAAATGTTTGGCAAATCAAAATTATACCCAACTGATGACTTGTATAATGATGCACAAGTATATGATACTAAATAATTTTAGTTTTTACTTACCATTACCCGTTATCACAAAACTATTAGTGAACGCGGCACAATCAAGCATACTCATAGCGCCACATATAAATTACGTGCAAAATGTTCTTAAACCAAAAAAAATATGTAAAGAAACGATCCCACCTGTATTTACCTCCAAAAGTGTATGAACATGTACCAAATAATTTAAAAGGATTACGCAATAAATTGAGTTAAAAAAATATAAAAAAATGTGTTAAGACGCTAGGGACAAACAATATTAATCTCAAATATTACACAATAAATACATCATTCTCACATATAATTATGTTTTTCTCTCTCTATTCTTTATTTTTTTATCTATTGCAATTCGACGTACGTGTAGTCCACAGGAATTGTCATTCTATAGATAAATTATATTGAGTTACTCATTTCATGTTCCCTGCATTTTAGAGTAAGTAAATATGACTATTACTATTACTGTTACTATTACCTATACCCGTGAAAAGTAGATTTTGTTTAACATAATCAAGATGACATAGTTAGTTAGAGAACATCGAGGAATCCAAAATGATTCGACATCTTCCGTTCTTTCACCGGGTATGAGAAGATCAATCTACAATAAATCCTGTACATCTCCAAAGTTAAATATTTACCATGTCGATATAGGAAAACTCCGCTCTAACTCGATAGATGTAATCTGGCTTTTGTCTGAACTACACAACATCATAAATTCCAACTTTAATCTCTATTGAGCTGAGGAAGAATCCATACTTGATTTATGAAGTTTTTTCTCGAAGTGTAAAGCAAATTAAAGGAGATTTATAAGGGTTAGACCGAATGGAAAATTACTTTTTGGTCTCGGGATAAGCAAAAAAGATTAATTAAGATAATTGCACTATTGGTCGTGACGTTTCACCTCCCTCTGCGATTTTCTTTATCGTCGAGAGGGTCGCTTTGTAAGAAACAAAAAAAAAGTTTGTGGACTGCCGATGAGGTTGAGTAAAAATGAGAAATGTCTGGAGTTGATGAAAGGAAAATTACTTTGGTGTTTGTCAGATGACGAATAAATAATTTCAAGCTTCCATTCAGATTTATGGCTGATAGCTAACCATGTAGCAACCCTGAATCTCTACCTCTCTACTATTATGAATGAGAAAGTGTAGATATTTGTTACAGAACGACGTAAAAATGACTGTAAGGATTTAACTTCAGCATAGAGATAGATTATGGGTGTTAAAAGATACTCGCGAGTTTGTTTGAAAATCCTGCTGGATACTTAAGAGCGGCATTAATCTAAAGATACAGTAGGTTTAGGGTGAATTACGAAATATTGAAAATAAAATATTGTCAAATTATGAGATGGCAACTTGTCCTTGAAACATCATCAGCTTATTGAATATTAAGCAATTACATATAGTTCAGTCAAAATACAAAGAAGGGATTGATTTTTGAATACAATTCATGTTTTAATTACTATGGTTGATTTTTATGTTTATACTATTTTCTTCAATTTTTCCTTTAAACCTCTTGCAGATAGCCATTAAACGCCTACTTGATGACAGACTCTACCAAAAATTTCATAGATACTGCTCGTTTCCTAACATTCATTCATTTACTTGCCGTTTATCACAACCATTATGGCACCTTAGATTGATATTCCCACAAAACCATTAAGGTTTTCTGATATCCTTATATAAAGTTGAATATTTTTCGTTGTTCAGGAACTGAACAAACATCCACACTATATTTACATCGATTAAGAAATTCCCAAATATATGTCGTCTTTTTACCTTTCTACCAGCAAACCTAAAGCCTGCAAAAAAACTAGAAATTTGCAATATTTTTCTTTTCTCACGAGTACACATTCTAGGTAGACATTATTTGAATAACAGCTGATTATTACATTTCAAAAATCCCCAACGAGTGACACATGTGTGGGATCCGGCAACTTCTGATCCCAGTCACAAACATATACACTGAAGAAGGTTTAATTCCATGCTATTCAATGACAACACGTCGACTTGTGTTTTTGTCAGCGGTCATTTTTTGAGGGTGCGACATGGTTACCAGATTGTGCATTCATATCCCGCTTCACCCCCTTGGTCTCAGTGGAGTAAGCTCCGCCAACTGTTGAAATATACTATATATACTTATAAGACTATTCGTGGAATTTTTACCAAAATCGTTGGACAACACCTGAAAAAAATGAAAATGAAAACTTAAAATTATTTCCATGACGCCCCAAAATAGCTGCGTCGGTACCTCGGGCGATACAGCTTGACAGTAGGAATGTTCGATACGATTCTATATTTAGAAGCATCGATAGGTGGGTGCGGATACTTTTACAAATATCGATGCTTTAGGACCCAGAAATGCAAAACAACGCCCTGAACGTGATATAAAGACAAAACTAGGTTGCCATGCATGACCATTCGTCAAAAACGGTGAAAACATCATACCAAATATAATAGCTAGAAAATCGACCTATTATTTGCCACATTCCCATTGGTCCCACTTGAATAACTGATTGTCTTTTCTGAAATGATAAAAAGTTGAAATTATATAAAAGATATTCTAATTCTAAAGCACAAAGACATAATATTACATCTATAATGTACGCTTATTTATAGGGCAACCGTTTTTTCACGACTTTATTCAACATTCCAATAGAAATCACTGATATTCAGAGAGCTTTGACAGCTTCTGTCAAATTGCATTTCGATTAGGCCTTAAAGTGATATTCGATTTCGATTCGACATAGACGAAAAGGAGTCTACGGGATGTCACAATCTTATAAACTGGCGAGCATAACTATAGCGCCACCAACAACTTCCTGCATGCTTTCGTTTGGTTAAATTGTAACTTAATAAGCCTTATAGATATGATAAAACAAAATGATTTTGGAAGAGTCAAACAAATTAAAAATTTGATGTTGCGCTGAACCTCATCAGGTCCACAGCAAATAACTGTTCAAGACTATTTAAAATTCATTTTTTTAAAAACCAATATGATGTCGCAATTCGACATAAGGAACAGCACTCTGACAGCTGCAGTTACAGTAATAAGTGTATCGGCAACAACGATCCATCTATCTCTCTATTTGAATCTCATGAGTTTGCAAATTTTCATCTTGCTGCTATCGCTCCCTGTGGGTGGAAACCACTGTGAGAGTCATTGATCTCTTGTTCGTGTAGATATTTATTAAATTCCAATCCTATAACTGTCAAAAGTTCGAAACAGTGTATCCGAAGTTCAAAGTCAATTACCTCTCCCTATCACAAGCTACATGTCATACACAATATTCCAGGTAGCGCGCAGCGTTAAGGATACACTTGCCGGTGACGTCTGACGTATATGCAACAGTTGCCGCAGAATCTGCTTTGCCCGAAGGTTAGGGAACTCCTGCGTGTTAATGAAGCTCTATCCACCCGAAACCTACGAAAACCTCATTTTAAACAGTCCAAAGCCTCAAGAAGGCGACAAGAATTTTCAGTTTTCTATGGAAACGCTTGTGCACAACACGGTGGGAATTATTGTATCGAAAACTATTGATTATAGGAGCAGGTCACATGTTCATCAGAGGCAGCATGACCGCCATTATACTCAGGAGGTGAGGAAACCACATGTTTTCCTTATTTATACATATAGCCCGAATTACGTTTATCACTGATTTCAGTCGGTTTGTCAGTCTGTCGGTCTTCTTGTAACCACGTAATTTCAGAACCGCTAGCACCGGTTTTAATGGCATTTGGCTGACATTATGCTGTGCAACCACAGAAGCTAATGACATTCCATAAGCAGAGAAGTTATGAGCAGAAAACACATTGGTATCAAACTGTTGACAATCTACGTTTAAGGTCCATTCACACTCAGCCGTGACGTGACAGTGCCGTGGCGTGCCAGTGATTCTCGCTGACGTGACAGTGCAGTTGTGTTCACGTGAGGATGAATTTGCAATTATTGCATTAATTCTGTTTTTTTATACTCCAACTACCACGAAGGCCTCAATCCTAAACACCCATGGGGTACCGTGGGGCCATAGAGGGAAACACAGGGGAAAGGGGGATCGCCACACAGACGAGGGAACACGTGTGCATGCAACATGCACACATTCTGGCTCCGCCTACGAGATCCGCCGGGTGGTACCTCCGCGTTCTACAGTCAGAGACCGTATACCACCTACGAAAGATGAATGAGAAACTATAAGAAAACGTTCTTGTATTTTGAATTTGACACGAAAGTACACAAAAACATCGATCTGGCAACGTCTGATCTAAATATTGTCGAACACGTAATGCGTAATGTGGTGGGGCACCATCCTGTTGGAACATCAACCTATTCGCAATGTACCGCCGATCGTTCTGATTTTCAATTATGGCTGTTAATGCAGGATCTATGGCATCTTCCAGTAATTCCAAATACACTTCACCGGTCAAATTTGCAGGTAAGAAAAAAGGACCAACTAAATAATCGCCAAAAATACCAGTCCAAACATTTAATTTTTGTGGCTGCTGTGTATGAACCTCATGATAAATTCTGGGATTAGAATCGGACCAATATCGGCAGTTATGACGATTTACTACGCCATTTAAGAAAAAGGAACATTCGTCGGAAAAGCAAGTGTAGTATGCCTTCCAGACTTCTCGCGAACAACGGCTATGTCCACATTCACACTGAATCTCACTTCTGTTCTCGTCTTTATACGGTATGGACGACAGTGCAGCGGCTTTGATGGTATCTGCGTTGGCGTACTATAACCTTGTAAATATAACCATTAGGAATAGAATTAATAAGAAAAGGCCCAGACGTTGGTGGATGACGCAAATTCATCTAAGCAGAACAAGGTTTGAGAATTTTAGTTTTTTGAAATTCTGGTTTATTTTTTTATTAAAAATTATCATAATACACATTATATAGTAGAGTAAATGTATAGGTATTTTCCATTTCAGCTCAAGCATGCAAAGTCAGTTGGGAGAACTTTTCGCTGAACCAAGTGGAGAATTTAAGAAGTTCACGCGAATGTCAACTACGGACTTTGAATTTTTGCTCAACAAGATTTCTCCTCTAATTAGCAAACAAGATACACAACTTCGAAAAGCCGTACCAACCCGAATGCGTCTTGCTATAACATTGAGATACTTGGCCACGGGAGATAGCTTTCAAAGCCTTCATTTTTTATTCAAAGTGTCACCGCAATTGATTTCAACAATTGTTCCCGAAGTATGTAAAGCACTGAATCAAGTATTGAGAAAAGAAATACAGGTGAGTTTTGAACAACATATTTATTAACTAAGCATTATTAAAGGCATTACAAATAACATCAGAACGATAGGTACTTCTCAATAGCTCGTCCGAAATAATGTGTATGTTTGAGCTACTTTGTGCATCTGCATTTTGTAAGACATTAACTTGTGGTGATTCAGAATACATTTGAATTGTATATTGTTCTTCGGATGGTGTCTGAATTTGTAGTGGTTTAGAACACACTAGGAGTGTATGTTCTACTTCTGATGTATGAATCTCCGGCGGTGCGGAATCTGTCATACGGACATTTGTATAGAAGCTATTTTGTGTTGCAGAGGTTCAGAGTAGCAAGCGATACCAGGGGAAGGGGAGGATATAGCAGATGAAGATCGAGTGTATTCTGAAGATGGATTAAATACTGTGTTTGTGAACCTGTTTGGTTGCTTTGTTCGTCGACGATTGAGAATTATGCCATCGAACTCATACATGATTTCTAGTCGTTCTTCTTCAGAGAAAGCTCTTAATTTCTTGGCTAACTCCATGCCATATATTTCACAGTCATCCGGGGGTTCTTGAGACTCTCTTCTTTTAACACTTTCTTGAAACAAACTCAGTGCCTCCTTCACATGCCTTCCGGCCTCTTTTACCTCGCACTGAAGGGAACGAGAACGACCAGTTCGTGGTGTTGTTATTTCATTTTTGGTTTCTCCTGGTTTATTCATTATTTCCTCTTCTGAAATAATTGTACTTGTGCCTGGCTGTTCATCCTGAAAATAAAAGAAAAGCATTAGTATAAACAAATTATTTATTCCTTTTCAGATTGCATCATCTGCTGAAGAATGGCTGGAAATCGAAAAAGGATTCAGCTCAAAATTTCCTAGAGCCATTGGTGCAATAGATGGCAAACATATTGTTCTGACGTGTCCACAAAATTCAGGCTCGGAGTACTTCAACTACAAGAAAAGTTTCAGTATTGTGCTCATGGCATTAGTCGCTGGCAAATATAACTTTATTTTTGCTGATATTGGTGGTCAGGGAAAAATGAGTGATGGTGGAATTTTCCGACATACTTTGTTGATTTCTAGGAACACTTTGAATTGACCAGCGTCACATCCACTACCAGGTTCAAATGTTGATATACCTTACGTATTTTTGAGTGACGGTGCATTTGCACTGCACCCGAATATCATGAAACCTTATCCTGGTAACCATGACAGGGATAGCTCTGAACGCATGTTTAATAAAAAACTATCTGGATCATGCGTAGTCGTAGAGAATACATTTGGAATATTGTCCTCAAAGTTTCGAATATTTAAAAGGCCAATTGAGCTCTGCCCCGAGAAAGCTTCTGTTATCACCATGACTTGTATATTATTACATAATTATTTAATAAAAAGCAATACTTCATCACAAATGTGTTCCCCACAAGGCACTGTTGATGTTTACGATGATAACGACACTCTTATTCAGAATGGGACATGGCGTATAGATAATTCAAGCACTAATGCTATTCAAAATATACCACCAATAGCACGCCGAGCAGCTGCCAATGCAAGGCAAGTACGACATAAGTTCAAAAATTATTTTTCCAATGTATATTGAGAAAAAGCTATAATTTTTCAATTTACATATTTTTACTGTACAATAGGTACTAAAATGTTTATTGAAATAAATGAAAAGTTCTTACCCTTGATTGCGTATTTATTGTTATCTTCGGAGTAAGTCCATCACTCAGAAATCCATCCAAAGCCTCATATGCAAACCATACTGGTTTGTATAATTCATTTTCCCCAGCACCCGATTGGTAAGAATCTTTAACCATCTTTCTGTATTTCCGATAACTTGCAAAAAGGGATTCCTTCTTCTTCTTGAGATCTGGTATTGGTAGATCCATCAATTGTGCAATTCTACCCCACGCATCGTGATTTAGATTCTTGTTTTTGTAATTTCGGTGTTTTGTGTCCCATAATATGGGCTCTGCTTGAAAAAACTCTATAAACTTCAATTCTAGGTTATTGTCCCACATTTTCTATTTTAAAAAGTTCACGAAATAAAACAAAAATACTTCCACTAACGTCGCAAGAATAACGTTGGTCGCACGTCGCACTGAGAACGGAGAATGTGGATAGCGTCCTTTTTCTCGCCCGAGAAAGCCTTTGTCTCTTGTCAAAAATATCGACACCGATCGGAGAACAGGCGAGCGCGAGAACGAGACGGCGAGACACCATTCACACTCACGCTTCTCGGGTGTTCTGGGGGCTTCTCGCCGTGAGTCTGGAGCGGCCTTAGAATAGAAAATGTTCATCGTTTATAATTCGTTCACTCATATCTTCACAAAATTCTAATCGCTGATCAAAATCGTCTTCATTAGGTTCTTGTACCAGGTGAATTTTATACGGATGAAAACTATGGGCCTTTAGAAACCGTTGGACAGTACGTCGACTAACACCACACAGTCCCAATTTGCGGGTACTTAACGTAGGATCTACATAAACTTGCCGTAAAGCTCGCACTTCTATTGCTTCGTTCCTTATGGGATTTTCAATGTTGCGTTTTCTATTGGCGACTGACCCAATTTCCCGAAATTTAGCTACAAGTTCTAGAACATATTTTCGATGCACTTTACTGTTCTCATGTCGCTCATTAAATATTTCTGACGTTCTATTAGCGCACTGATTATTTCCGAAAAATATTTCGATAATTTCAACTCTTTCTGCTGTGGAATATACCGTGGTTAATTTATGTAATAAAGCCTTACAAGTTATTTTAGCAACAAAGTTTGGTCAAACCAATCGCAAACTATGTACTAAATTCTTATTTAAAATAAGTACGAGATATTTCTTTATCTTTCTTCAAGAAATAACTTTTTTGCCACAAAAAAACTATTTTCAACAACAAAATGGTAAACAAATCATGAGCGTAGTGAAGAAAAGCATTTACTTATTAAGTAAATTCTTTTAGTCAAATCTCTTCTGAAAGTAGTACAAACTAATCAGATGTACCTATTAAAGTGTACTTTAAGCTTTAAATCAATAAATCTTCAAAACTACTGAATTGAAGCTCATATATTTTACATCATATATACATATCGTTCTGTCTTGGGAACAAAATGATTGTAAAACCAGTCCTTAAATCAGCGGCATCTATCCAGGCATTTTTTTTTATACCACGCTGGAAGAGCATTGGGACGGACGTGTTCAAATGCTCTTGATTTAGCTGATTTTCCGATTAACAAGAAAGGAAGTTTGTGTGTACCGGAAGCATTGCTACAAGCAAGGATAGTCACACGTTCTTTACTGTGTTTGTAACCAGGGGGCTCCAAATTCTTGTTTTGAAGCAAAACTTTTCGCCGGTGACATTTTATAGTTTAGGCGGGTTTAGTCGCAGTTGTAAAGTTGTTCTGGATTCAAACCATACTGCTTCATTAATTTTCTAAAATGTTCTTAAAATCTTAGTGCAGCGGGCTTATCGGTAGATAGCTGTTCACCGCAAACCTTTAATCCTCGTATACCGCGTCGTGTTTTCCATCTATGCAGCCAACCATCACTTGCTGTAAAGTTATCAGCCGCCTCTATAACTGGCGAACTTAAGTTGACTGCCTGCTAACTTTAGAATTGGTCCACGTTCTCGAGTCTGTGTAAACCACAGATATAGAAAAAATCATTCATTTGTTGATATTCCCCCTTTTTCATAGCTTTCCGTGACAGCTGCGATGATGTCAGAACAATAGAGCACTTTTTAATTTTCTCGCGTTATTTGTTCCTTTCTGAAATGGCACTCACGCCCACGCCCAAATGACTTGCCACGTTTTTAAGCAAATCACCTCTATCTAAACGTCTGATGCCTCAAGTTTCTGTTCTATGGCAACAACAACGAGTATACGTGTATTTTTATGCTGCTCCATCTTAGCGATTATGAACCTGACTGAAACAAGCATACACGCACACATACCAGTGCATTCCGCAAATGCGCTTGGGGCATCACCGACAGCGAATCTAATGACGCAAGCTCCGAAAGGAGAACTACCGGAGGCTATTTCCGATCATGCGCCGGTCTCCCGAACCAAATCGGTTAAAACGGAGAAATTATTGTATGACTGAGAGATAAACCAACGGGCACGAGTGACATTGTGTTTCGTGATGTAGATACCATCAAACATCCATAAAAACATTTTCAAAATTGTTTGCGATTACAATGCTTCCTCGCCAGTGGCGTCGCAAGTAAAAGGAACGTAAGAAACAAACTTAGTTCAGAACTAAAACAAGTTAGGACTGAGGTAGGAATCAGAATATTTCAGGTAACACTGAGTGCGCCCTTATGGGGGGTTCCACCGACAGGTAACTGAATTAATTCAAAGAAGGTCCCTTCCACTGAAACATTAATGCCGGTCTTTCTCCTGATTAAAACTTTAATGTGGCACACTTAATTGAATCGAGAGCAGGAGAAGAGCGATAAAATATTTAAGATCAATTAGCAATTTTAATAGGGCTGTCAAGGCGGTTCGGCGTTTCTGAATGGCTAACCGACGATACATTTTGCACCACCATTACCACAGGTTTGCACCCTTTCAACAGAAAATTTTATTACTGCTAAGCAGAGAACAGTCGCGCGGTAAAGAATGCACTTAAAAATTATGACAAGGTAACCTTGGAGTAGGGCCAGGACATTAAGGTTTGGAGTTTCAGAAAGTGATGTAAGCATCGGTCAAAGTATTCCACCACAAGATACCCAGTTAGTTCAATTGCTTATAGCAATATGAATGCCGACCACCCTCTTTAGGCGCCACTGCTGTCACCTCGCTGGTCCCTACCGGTGATGGGATTTCTTTTCCGTCGTTAAGAAATTCTAAAAATAAGAAGCTTAGGAATAATTCCGGGATAGGTTGAGGGGTGATCATTTCTTGGAAGATTGATTTCACCGACGACAAAAAACACTATGTACTCGTAAGACAAAAATAAAGCGTTTTTATTACGTTCAGTATGTACTAACAACCTTTGTATAATTACAGACGGCATTTAGATATGAAAACGTTACTATCAGTGTCAAGGCACAGAGTATCCAAGCATATAATGGTTATCACTGGATCTATCATAAGCGTGAGAGTTCGTAGCATAGCTGACAAGTGGCACTCCTGACAATATAAACTTCCAATTTAGCACAGTAAGGTACATTCAAATTACCATAGATGATGAACAAAAAACGAACACCGTCACTCTCAATTAACGATCTATTGACCAACATTACCAGTACCCGCACGGGTATCACGTATCTTGAAAAGTGACATTATGCCGATTTTTTTTTGACATTATGCTGGTTTTTTTACATTATGTAGGTTATTCTACAACATGTAAACTCAGCATTTAGTTGTACGTGTGGCCTAAGCGTCATGAGGCTTGTTATCAATCTTTGGCTCTGATGTGATGTAAAATTTGCTTCCGGGATGGCATTACTGGAGGTCTAAGCTGTAAGTTGTATGTGTTGATGATACATACATTCGGTTCTTGACTCAAATACATATTATCGAGATTCAAAGCTAGAAATTAGGTGCGCATCTACTTTTTCTTATCCATTCTGGCAATTACATATACAAATTTGCTGAATTTCAAAGATGAGAGAGATAAGAAATAATTATATTCACTGTACACTGTCGAATTACAAGCCATATACATGCTAACAGTAATTACATACAACGCGGGCGAGGTGATGATTTCCCGTAATTCTCCTCAGTTTCTCCTAATTTATAACTTTGAACATAACCTCTCCTCAGAAAGCACAACATATACATAACCCGTCATATTCGAGATATTCAGTAATGATTTTCTCACACAGCAAATATCACTGATTTTATACACATGCAGACCAATACACATAATCATCCAGATGCGATCTTGCTATTCAACCAACTTTCTTCTCAGAGACAAAAATTACAGACCCGGATCACTCAGCCTCACAAAACATAGATGGACGTTCACAACGATCCTAGTGAGCAAATGTGGAATGACCGTTTGCGCCCTAAATACTACCTAGTCTGGAAGTTGACATCGTATAGGTTTTTTTGACGTTTTATAGGTTTTTTACATGATACCCGTGCCCAGTTTGACATGCCTATGGTTGAACCTACTGACAGCTGCCTGCCGAAATTCTGGTAAATTGAAAATTGCACAAAAGGACAATCGAACGTGACTGATATAACAAAGTTTCGGATATCTCGCTGATTCAAATTGTGAATTGACCAAGGTTCGCGGGACTGTGAAAGGCGTCTCTCGGCAGATTGTCTTATATTTCCGATACCCTGGGAACGGGGGAGCAATCGCACAGGTCAGTTCTCGAGCAAACTATGAACATAAAGATTGTGACCTGTTGATTACATTTATTGCAATAAAGAAAATCAATCATTTGAAGATCTCTTCAGCACAGTTGTGATTATGTGCTTAAAAATTCATGACAACTCAAAAACAAGGAATGGAAACGCATGGCTAGGAATAAAAACAAGATGTAAACACTAATTGGGGAATGTCGGCCATACGTGTTCATTCCTTGTTTCTGAGTTTTGGTGAATTTCTAAACACGATGGCACACATAGGATGTTTTGTTGGTCTACTTGCAACAATTAAGTGTTATGGATCATTTCGCAATGCAACCCATATGTGACAATGCCAATAATATAGGCATGCTGCTAAAGCATGGACACTGGTAAGAATGTTAATATGTAGCTTGTCTAGCCCAGCAACTGACGGATGACCATTCCACCTTAGACTCAGGAACATTATTTCATTACTTCACTCATTATTGTTTTGATGCCCAGGTACCGATGTTCACTAGATGAGCACTGAGCTTCAGGCCCACCGTTATTCCTACAATAAAAAATATTTTAATGTATTTGCTAATGTAAGTTATAAGGAAAATACTGCCGGAGAAATGACACCAGCTTAAACATCAGCTTTGCTTGGTGTATACGAAGGCGAGTTGCATTTGCAGCTTACATCTAAGATAGTCTGTTTAAAGAGATAGTTGCTGACTAAGATGATGAATCAAAAGGTTCTTTCACTTTCTTTCATTGGTCTTAGATACCGTATTTGAATGCATCTTCAAGTAGATTGTTTCACATCATAAGCAGATTGTGAAACGTCAAACAACAAGTCCGTTAACAACCAAACGTTTTACATTGACGAGCACTATTATAGTCAACGCCAAACAAAGTGGCGTGCACGTCATCAAGGTGGGTGTGTTGAAAAATTTACATTGTTGCCAAACTTTTTGTAAAATAATAAAATTTATTATTTACATATCTAGGTTTATAAGCAATATTAACCTCAAATGAGAACAAAAATAATAGTATAATAAAATTATAGATCTGTACTTGCATAATCATTAAGTATGACAATTATTGATCAGATGACACTATGAAACTACCATATTTAATTGATAGCTTAAAGGTACTGAATAAAAATCCAAATGGGGTCCTCCAAATTTTATGCATGGTATTTATTTTACAGAATTCATACAGAAAAATGCATTCTAAAATTAGGTAAGCTACTGGTGTAAGCTTTTTCTGTACAATAAAGTTAGTCGGAGTTTCTTTCTTCAGCGCTGTCTGAATCTGAATCTTCATCACTCTCAAAGTTGATTATTAAAGGTTCGATGTCTGGTCGATCAAAAATTCGTTCTCTTTCATACCATTTAAAAATTTCTTGCTCAGTATGTCGAACACTATTTTTCCACATGTCTGGGGTAACCGTTTGTAGAGCCTCGTTCCACATATCCAAACGGTCTTTTTCACTGTTACCATCTCTACCAATATGTCTGTTATAGTAACCTTTTGCTATGCCCCAAATTAACTCAATAGGGTTAAATATACAATGGTAAGGAGGCAGACGAAGAACTTTGTGCCCTTGTTGTTCCGCCAATTCATCAATCACGTATATTTTAGGTGGTTTGTTTCTAAAAAAGCAGTTATTTTAAGAATAGGAATAAACAAAAGAAATATAAACTGTCGACCAAAATATATATAATTAAGAAGCATTATGTACCGAGCAACAATACTCAATAGCTCTGTTTTAAACATTGTGTTTAAAAATGGTATGTTTTGATTTGTCAACCAGTCTTGGATATTTTTTTTTGTCCATGCATTGTTGGGCACTTTGTTCAATATCATGCTGTGATAATGGGCGTTATCCAGTATAATCATAGATGGACCCTCCAATTTTTCTAATAACTGATGTTGAAACCATTTCAAAAAATTGTCCTGGTTCATCTCTCCATGGTAATCGCTCAATTTTGTTTTCGAAGAAAATATCGCTTCACTACCCTCAATAAACCCATTTTCATTTCCAGCATGTAATATAATGTATCTAAAATATATTAGTTTTAAATTTTATAGTGCAAATTGTGTAAAAGTACATACCTTTTACCATCTGTTTTAATAGCTTTCACGCTTTTTTGGTTTCCATTTTGCCAAGAGCGACCTATGGTCCCATTTTGAAATATCCAAGTTTCATCGAGGAAGACAAACTGGTATAAGGCCTCAACCTTGGCTTGATTGTATTGCCTTAGAAATTCCACCCTTTTCAAAGCTATACTTGGTAGTTCCATGAGCCCTCGTCGCGGATTGTCCTTAAGCCACTTAAATCCAAGATCTCTAAGCAACCGCCTTAAAGACGTGGCACTACCATCAAATAATGCCCTATCTCTTAATCGAGACCATAAAGTTTGTATCGTAACTTGTTCTTCTGAAACCATGTGTAATATGACATTATAATTTAGTTAACAAATTAATGCAAATTTCTGATAAGTTATTATAATAAGATCTTACTTTTGTGATACATATTATAGATCACTTCTCGAATGGCACTTGTATCCAATGTCGCTGTGTTGGTTACACGTTTAATATAACTCCGCTTTTTCTTGGGCGATTCTAAATTTGCATCACTTTTCACACCCTCGGAAATACGACTAACTGTCCTTAAACTAATTTTTAAAGCAGCAGCAACACGCTACAAAAAATGAAATAAAATTTCACTATTATTAATATACATTACATATAATTATTAGTAACCTACCTCTTGAACAGCATTTAAAGGCAACAAAGGCCCGTTGTTGTCCCTTTCTTGCTCAAAGTAGTGCATTGACGAGGCCACGAGTTCCTTACACCGACTATTTAACTGTTTGAGCATCTTTATATACCAAAATTGCCTTTATCTACTCGTAAAATGAATAATTTTGTTTTGAAACAAACAGTTGTTGATTTACAGTATGCGGGGCCAAAGGATTTATAAAGATTTGAAATGCCACAAATTGATTCAGTGTCAAAATTAATACAAATGTCAGTTCCCAGTTTAAATAAGTTTCAAGGTGACAATGTGTCAACGCTGCGAAATCGGTTTAGTGCGTTTACATGTCGATAAGTGATTGGAGCGTTTGCAAAACATTTTATTTCGCATAATGCGTCTAAATTTATCAGAAAGCAACTTATGTGATATTTTAATAACAATGTTTATATGACTATTAACCATAATAAGAGAGTAATGACCATTTTACAATTTATATATCACATTAATATGAAACTGCAATAGAGCAATTGTTTGTGATAGAAACCTAGGCATAAGGTCGGGGAATTTTTATCGTGATGACGTGCACGCCACTTTGTTTGTCATTGACTATAGTATGGTTACTTCTCCCTAGACATAGTATTTTCAGTTGTTGTCACCCTGTAACTGGATACATTTACCTTGTGCCGTTAGTACATCCAAGTGGCGTTTCTTACAACACATCCTTCTCTTTTTCTTACCTCTCTAAGTCGTTGTGATCCTCAAACTGCAATCTAGCTGCTGGCTGTCGTTCCCGAATTGCTCGCAGAGCTGACCAGAATAAACACGCTCATTTTCACGGCTGGTATCGATTTCCTGGGACAGGGAAAGGGGGAATGAAGTATACTCGACTTTTTAGCAGTCCCTACTTGTTGAGTCGGCAAAATCGTATCGTACGTGGGAACAATTTTGAAAAGATTGTCTGTGCTCGTTTCGACGTCACAATTGTATAAGCCGAGGGATTTTTTGATGAAAAATGGCAGCTTGCTGAAGTTCCAGTGACATCTTCATTTATAGCTAGAGAAGCTCTCCAAGATCAAACCATCGATTAAGGTACAGTGGAGGTCTATTGGACAGAAAAATACCAACACCTCGGAATTCAGGTTAGAGATTTATTAGATTTCTAGTGAAATGCATTTAAAGTACTGTAAATTAAAAAGTTTATATATTAATCTTATATGCTTTTTATCTTCGATTGAATTTATTTATTTTTTTGTTTCATTTTGTATGGTTATGGTTATTTAGGTATACAATATGCCAGATGGTAGACCTCATCAAACTAAACAAAAATAATCACATAATAAACTTATTTAGCATTTTACGGCGTCGTTTCTGAGTTCATTTCTCTTAAATAATATATTTTTAACTTAATTTAGCTGAAACCTTGTGAATCGACGATGGGCATCAAGAAGCTAAACCTGAGTTGGTCATATTCCACTCCACTCCACAATAATAATAATAATGTTTATTTGAATAACGTACAGAAAATCGTTACCCTACAATAAACATAAAATTCCCAAAGAAGCTTGAAATTCTCCTTGGGTTCACCTGTTAATGAAAAAAAAATAATACTACAGAAACATATGCAGGTATTCAGACAATTTTTGATATACAACTACTTGTATTTAGAATATTTCTAAATGCAGCTCAAACATAATTACATCCGTAATATACATAATGCTTTGAGTTTAACAATGTTTTTTGGTGTCTATAACTTATTGGATCGAGTTCCTTGGTTCCTGGATAATCCATGACTTGATGTGTTGTTTCAAACTCTTTGATGTTTCAATAACCTGTATTGATGTCGGAATATGATTGAATAATTTTGGGCCTAAAAAGGGAACAGACATTTTACTGACGGTTATGGTAGATTTTCGCACGGATACTGGATTTTGAACATCAATTCATTGTAAAAGTAGACTTGTCTAACGTCTGAGCTTCTAAGTAAAGATTATCGGTTGGAAATGTAGTCTCCTCATGAAGTTCCGTTTGGAAAAGATCGTTGATACTGTATAAATTGAAGAGCAAGGTATACTAGACGACAACGCTTTTAGATTCGTTCACAATTTTTCTGCTTCCTTGTGTTACCGACCCGCCATATAGTACGGTCATTATATGATACGGTATAAATAATCATGGAATCTGGTTCATCTGTATAAATTATACATTTTAGCAATGTGCAATAACCTAAAAAGCCCTAGTAGTTCGATACAGTTAGTTTGAATGCACCGGATCTAAAAAATCGCATTGTTTCGATTCTGTCATATCAACAAGTACACATAATGTGACTACGCTATGAAGACCTGAACCTTTCCACCCCCCTCCCGAGCCCCGCAAGCAGGTGAATCAGCGCGATGCAACAGAGCGGTACTCGGGAATATATATTCAGTTGAATGCCGACAATTGAGGTTGACGGACGACGTCTTCAAAGATAATTATCGGGGATACGAATTTTTTCCGCCCTTGGGAGCAATATTCCCAGACAAGTCAGCGACCCACGGAAGTTATAAGTACAGAGACGCTATGAATGATGGAAACCCAGCTTGCAGCAAAGACTTTTCGGACAGTGTTACTATCAGTGCGCATGATACTGATAGTAGTAACGAGGTCAGCACTGATAGTCAGGAATAACGTATTTCTAAAAGAATGTGCCTGTCTGCTGATGCTCAACAGATTTGCATTACTGTTTATAATGGACTGTTATGTGAAATGGGTGATAGCGGCAATAGTAGTGTCCTTGAGAACACAGCCGAACTGACTAACGTGTCATATCCTAACATCTGTAAAATTAATGGTAACGGTGTCAAACCAAGAAAAAAAAAAGAATTGACAAGGGGACATCTATACCTTTAAGTGCAGCAACAACTGCCAAAATAAGGAACATAGTGTATGATCATTATAGACGTAACGAAATTCCCACAGCACATCGAGAATTGCTGGAAAGAGGCAAGAGTTGTTCCCTGCAGACATTTCAGAAATTTGAAATCTATAACGATCAACGTTAGAGAGAACATGTTTGAAAATTTCCAGATCCGTCTCTGTCCTCATGCCTCCGGTTCTCGGTTTTATAGCCGTTTTATGACTATCGGCAAAAAATGTAAACGTATCTAAAGGCGTTACTAAACCTATCACTGTACCTTGGGGTGCCCCATAAGTCAATACCTCTTGTTCGCTTAAAACACTATTTCATCAGGCGGATTTCTGTTTTTTAAATAACTTTCCATGAGTTTATATGTGGTACCTTCGAAATCGAACTTTTCTAGAGTGGAAAAAACAGATTTGTGGCTGATGGTATCGAATGCCTTGGCAAGATCAACAAATATGCAAGCAATTACTTTATTTATATCCATCTTTTAATATATACTAAGTGACATATAAATCCGAACACCCAGTTTAAATGGTTTTATTTTAATAAAATTTTGTATAAGTACTTAATGAAGCATAATAAGTAAATGATAAAAATTTCAAAATGATTGTACTGCTTTAAAGCCCTATGACCTTTAATAATGTGTGGATACACCCTGATGTGCTACGCATTCTCCAACGCGCCTAGGCATGCTTCTGATCAGGTGGTCAAAGTCCTCCTGTGGTATCTCATTCCAGGCAACTACCAACTCCTCTCGAAGTGCTTCTAGAGCCTGAGGAGGACGTTGCAAATTGAGCAATCTCCTACCCATCATATCCCACACGTGCTCAATTGGGGATAAGTCGGGAGATCTTGGTGGCCATGGTAACAATGTGACATCATTATGTTGAAAGAAGTCTATTGTGACTCTTGCAACATGTGGTCGGGCATTATCTTGTTGGAAAGTTGGATCTGCCAGGGTGTCAAGATAGGGTAAAAGATGGGGTTGTAGAACTTCGTGGATATAATGCTGCGCGTTCATGTTACCTCTGATGAAGATTAAAGGTGACCTGGAACCATAAGCTATAGCATCCCAAACCATAACTCCAACAGTGTGATGAACATGTCTTTCAACAGAAAACTGTGGATTCCTCCTTTCACCACGTCGCCTTCTAGACCTGGCACGACCATCGTGCATGCCTAAACAAAATCGAGACTCGTCACTAAAGACGATACTGTTCCATTCCTGATCCCAGAGTGACCGTTGTCTGCACCACTCAAGGCGATAACGTCGGTGTTCTCGAGTTAAAGGGAGGACCCAGTGTGGCCGGTATGAAAACAAGCCAAAACTTCTCATTCGTCGGTAAACACTTCGCATGCCAATAGGTCTTCCGTGTTCTGCAAACCATTCATTTGCAATGGTCCTGGTAGTGGAGAAACGGTCCCTTAAGGCCAATAATCTTAGGCGGCGATCTTCACGGTCTGTTGTTTTACGGCGGCGTCCAGTGCCCCTTGCTCTTTGCGTACGGCCTTCTCGAAGCCATGCCTGACAACACCTAACCACAGTGTCTGCACTTCTTTGCACTCTAACTGCAATTGCCCGAAAAGAAAGTCCAGCTTCCCGAAGTCCCACTATACGGCCCCTATCAAACTCACTAAGTTGACGAAATCGTACAGGTCTCCGTACTCTAGGCATCGTAACCGATCGTAAAGGATGTCAAGAACCAAAATCCGCCAACGTTGATTCTTTACTGCGGCTGAAATATTCATTTTTAGAGCGTTAGTGAATTAAAAAAAGCAGTATAAAAACGGGAATGTCCAACTGATAAGGCTGAAAATTTTTTCACTTGTTATTTACAGTAAGATAAATACATTCACCAACTTTTATTAAAATAAAACCATTTAAACTGGGTGTTCGGATTTATATGTCACTTAGTATATTTTAAATCGCATCTTGTGCTGATTTTCCTTCCTGAAATCCGTTTTGTTGGGCTGATATAATGTTATAGTTTTACTCCTGTTAAAGTTTGCAACTAGAAAAACAAATAATCACATTATACAAAAATGTAGGAATACCCCTGGATTGACCAGGATTTATCAAGAGATGAAAGAAACAACAGAATCGTGAAACCTCCTTTGAAGATGCTCTGTTAAGTTGGGAACCTGGATTATCCAAGTGGTTAATTCCGAGCCATGTATATGCGTTGTGTGTTGTCTATATCACGCACCAGATCGGTGCAAGATCAACATAGCTACATCGCATGGCTGGCGCTGACTAATCCAATACTCAGTTACCAGTACATGACCTGTGGGGTAGTTCAGTGTTGGTACTATGGGGTCGGCAAGGTATAATACTACTACTACTAGTACAGTTGAAAGCTGTGCCTCCAGAGAATGACTACAGATATGTACCATAGAACCAACATACACTTATGCTTGCAACAATATACGTAACCACCATCGTTTTGTGGCTCTGGCTGTTGTTGCATGTTGAGGAACTTTCTGTTCCGTGGTTGAGAAACTTCGAATTCAAAAGTTAATGTTTTGTTTAAAAATAATCCATTTTCTTTAAGATGAAAGTGAAGTCTGTTACTTTTAAGGGAGTTGCTGCTATCCATTTGACTAAGCGGCCGGGAATTGTATGTGAACGTTGAATTATATCATAAGGTTGGATATTGGAGAATATGCTAATCTAAGCCGAAACCTATAAAGTATCAGCTGGAAAATTCAGATTTAGACTCCTTTCCTCCACTTGGGAAGTTCGCAAGGTGTTTCGACTAGGCTGATAACAAGTCACCTAAATAAAAAACAAAATACGTACTGAATCTTTGTTAGTTGGTAACAAGTAATCATTGCCAATTCGTGACTGATCACAAACCATTATCACCTCACATAACAAACCTACCTTCCTGCCTCGGACGAACAGATGCTTGAGGGAACTTCAGTTAACACTTCTCCTGAGGCAATTTACCTTTTGACAGGGGTGAGAAGTGCTGCCCTAGGAATTTCGAAACTTTATGACCACACAAGGATATACATATTAACAAGCAGAGCTGGCATTCGCTGAGAAATCCCTTACGCGAGGCAAAATCCATCACTAAGTAGTTTCTAAAGAAAATGGCAAGTGGCGTGAAGTTAGCGACATTGGCGTAGATTGAGATTCATCCAGAGGGTACAACAGGTATTTATAGCGATATTTCTAATTAAATAGAGTGAGTTTATTCTCCATATTCGCCAGGAGCGAAGTGCTCAGTGGGTGGAACCAAATCGATCGCCGCGCACGTGGTGGCAACATCGACGATTTGACAGTAGAATGTAGGCCTGTCAACTACGGTGAAATGAGAGTAACTTGGATCAAATGAGGGCGGGTAATGGTGCAAATACTTTACGGTCACCATTTGTCAAACTAAAGTATCGTCAGTTTGAAGCTCAAATGGTTCCTAACCTCTAATGGATGCAACGTGTGTTATTCCCATCGATCTGATTTATTTACATATTACACGTGTCAAACACAAATACTTCTGTTCGACATCCGCTAGGTGGCACTTTCCTGGCACACTTAGCGAATTTATAAGTATTAAAAATATGCGGAATAATAATTCGACGATACTTGTCACAGATAAATTTACTGGACTGAAAACACCCTTAGCATCTTTTGTTTACCCGCTTATGGTTCGAAGAGAGAGTTGGCGGTTAAATCATTAATTTTGAGCGCGGGAATGTCATCTGCACATTGGAGAAGTGTGTCGTTTTCATAATTAATGTAACATGAATTAGGGTTAGAACACAATGGCAATTCTCCCAGGAAAGTCGTAGGAAAGTTCTCGCATAACTTCCAAGTATTTTCGATGTCGCAGCGTGGTAGTCGTGGATGAATGATGGGCTCGAATCTGCTAAACACCCCACAGGAAGCACTTCGGGTCATGCATCTTGTTACTTTCATTTTCATCAATCAACGTTACCAATACTAAAGCAAATACTGCTGGTATGTGTTCTATTGGAGGCCATAGAGCCAAAGCACTTTGACCCTAATGAACCACACCCTAGAAGTCACCCAAGGCTAAGTCTTGAGCCGACAGAGAGATAAAGTTGAAACATTGAGTTTCCGATACTTTCTTTTTGTGTATCTACCCGGACTGCATTTTTTGCAAAGGTGTAGGGTAATATACCTGATATTTGATATGCCAGGATTCTGCCAGCAAAAAAGCATTTTCCTAACTAAAAGTCCATACATTTCTTCAAGCGAGACCTGCGAACCGCTATATTATGCAGTTTTAAATAAAAAACAAATTAAAAATGCGCCGCGAAGCGCAGCATCACTATTTCACTAAGCCCGTATTTTGAATTGGCCTTTAACGCTAGCGTAATGTAAGGACATTTTTATGAAGACCTCGACACAGATTTAATTATAAAACCGTGCACGGTTTATGTTTTGTGTGGAGTTATGCGAACTGCGTTTTCATGTCCGAGCAAGATAGGTCGAATAGGTACAGTATATTCAGATAAGAGATAGACCGGATGTAAACAAAAGGTTCGGGTGATTTTCACGCTAACGCCGCCGTCTCGACGTAAAACAGGAGCCCTCATTGGTTAATTCGCAATTAAATGCCTATGCCGAGCGGCAGAGCAGTCGTATCAAGGCAGAGTCACATTCAGGTTCAGACTTGTTACGTATGTCGTGTGCATCATTGCAATTTGATATTTCTTTGGACGTTTTCGTTTGTTATCTTATTAAGTTGTTGAGTTTGTCGTTGTTATTGTTATACCTTGTTATTGATTGTTATTGTTATCAACTGCTTTCGCAAAATGCCCAGTAGTACAGATACTGCCGATGAAGTTGTAAACTCCTGTAGTCCACATAGGAAACGCTTTATAAAAAGACACCTGAGTGTCACAAATTGTTGTGAAGGTTTCTCACAAAGTTGGGGTGTGTCGCGCATCAGTGTTTAATGTGTTAAGACAATACAAAAAAAATCACACCTTTTCTGAGCCAATGACCAGTAAACATCGCAAAAGTATTGTTAAATCATTGGATGAAGCTGATAAGCATGCGATTAGGAGGAAAGTGCATGAATTCTTCTTTAGGAATGAAATACCTACTATAGATAAAGTACTGCAGGAGGTAAATGGAGATACAACGTTGCCAAATTTCAAACGATCAACTTTCCATGCGTTACTGAAGCATTTAAATTTCAAATGGAAAAAACGGGGTCGTAATAGTTTACTACTGGATAGAGAAGAAATTGTGCTATGGAGGAGGGATTATTTAACAAAAATTGGGAAATATAGAAATCAAAACAGGAAGATTTATTACCTTGATGAAACGTGGGTAAACGCAGGACACACTACAAGTAAAGTATGGGTTGATGATTCTGTAACTTCATCCAGGAGGGCCTTTCTAGATGGACTGTCCACCGGATTAAAAAATCCAGCAGGTAAATACGAGTAATAGACAACAATCGGGTGTTTTTCAAACCTTGGGAACAAGGTTCTAAACATTAATTCCATGGGGCAGATAAAACATATTACAAGTAACAAAACTTTTATAACTTTCGATAAAATGCGTGGATGTTTTATTGTCATTTTCATTTGTTAGAACTTTTTTAAGCCATGTTTTTATGTGTTTTCGATATTTCAATAATTTTTTAATATAATCTTAAAATATGTCGAATATTATAAAGTTAAAAAAAGTTACTAAGTTTTATATTCTAATCATTTGAATTCATACTTTAAGCTTTATAAAGTTATAATTTGTTAATATTAATATTTGCGCGTATTTCAGGTTCCTGATCATTCATTTTTTAAAGGTTTATAACTTTAAATTAAATTGTGAAGCGCTGAGTAATCATACGACGTTCAATATTCTTTCCTTCAATATGACTAAATAATCCCAATTATAGCAATCTGATACTCATGTCTCAATGTTTTTTCGCTGAATGTGATGAAAACATTTGAAAAAGGTTCGCTACAACTTTTAAATTTTGTGACCTCAAAGGACTTTTCAAAGAAGCACTAGAATTAATAACAGCGCAAAAATGGGAAAACTGTATTAAGCACGTGAAAGACAAAGTTGAAAAGAGAATGTGGAAACTGGACAATATTTTAGAGGAACAAGTCGAGCCATTCACTATTGACGTTGGTGCTTCAGGCAGTAGCTCTTCAAGCTCATCTTTCCAATAAAAGATGTCGTTCATCAAATTCGGTAAGTTATAAGTAATTATAAAGCTACTGTATTTTTTAATTATTTATTGACATTTTTGAACCCATTTTGGCAAAACCTATTCAAGAATCTACTTTCTGACAATGTTCAACCATGCACATTTTTTTACGTTTTGAACGTTTTAATTTGGTTACATATTTACCTAGAAATCAAAAAATATACTAATCAATATTCTAAAAGCAATTTTAAGAGATATACGATTATTTTTAATTTAGGCTAATTTAAACGCCATTTTGAGATTATATTCGACTGTATTTCACCAAACATCAGGCGGCATCCGAAGCTGGAAGTCGAAGCGAAAATTTTGAAACCCTTATGTATATTTACATCATTATATATTTCTTACACCACCCCCACATGATCCTATATCCACCACCAATCGTATACACATCGAATTGTGCTAATTTACTACAAAGTTACGCAAAGCAGCATCTACTATCTAAAATATGTACTGCGTGACTCTTAATACGTCCCTGCCGAATGTTACAGCGTTCGATGATCACGTGGTCTTGTTTATGTCCGGTCTATCTCTTATCTGAATATACTGTAGGTTCACTTGACGTCGCCTTATAGTAACGTTATTTTGTTCCCTACAACTCTGATGGTAGCGTAGGATCGAGAAGAAATCCGTTTCTCTAAATATTTGGTTTTTATAGATCTCCTCATGAAAAGTAGCTCTCAATGACTATTGCAACGACTTTACCGCCCAAGAAGCAATTAAGGATTTCGAGCTCTTCCCATTCCCTTTCATTTCTCCTTTATTTTCATTTTCACATTCGTATACAATGTGTTACTTCAACAGTCTGAAACGCCCTGTAGAATATAACAGAATAGAATATATACTAAGTGACATATAAATCCGAACACCCAGTTTAAATGGTTTTATTTTAATAAAAGTTGGTGAATGTATTTATCTTACTGTAAATAACAAGTGAAAAAATTTTCAGCCTTATCAGTTGGACATTCCGGTTTTTATGCTGCTTTTTTTTAATTCACTAACCCTCTAAAAATGAATATTTCAGCCGCAGTAGAGAATCAACGTTGGCGGATTTTGGTTTTTGACATCCTTTACGATCGGTTACGATGCCTAGAGTACGGAGACCTGTACGATTTCGTCAACTTAGTGAGTTTGATAGGGGCCGTATAGTGGGACTTCGGGAAGCTGGAGTTTCTTTTCGGGCAATTGCAGTTAGAGTGCAAAGAAGTGTAGACACTGTGGTTAGGTGTTGTCAGGCATGGCTTCGAGAAGGCCGTACGCAAAGAGCAAGGGGCACTGGACGCCGCCGTAGAACAACAGACCGTGAAGATCGCCGCCTAAGATTATTGGCCTTAAGGGACCGTTTCTCCACTACCAGGTCCTTTGCAAATGAATGGTTTGCAGAACACGGAAGACCTATTGGCATGCGAAGTGTTTACCGACGAATGAGAAGTTTTGGCTTGTTTTCATACCGGCCACACTGGGTCCTCCCTTTAACTCGAGAACACCGACGTAATCGCCTTGAGTGGTGCAGACAACGGTCACTCTGGGATCAGGAATGGAACAGTATTGTCTTTAGTGATGAGTCTCGATTTTGTTTAGGCATGCACGATGGTCGTGCCAGGGTTAGAAGGTGACGTGGTGAAAGGAGGAATCCACAGTTTTTTGTTGAAAGACATGTTCATCACACTGTTGGAGTTATGGTTTGGTGTGCTATAGCTTATGGTTCCAGGTCACCTTTAATCTTCATCAGAGGTAACATGAACGCGCAGCGTTATATCCATGAAGGTCTAGAACCCCATCTTTTACCCTATCTTGACACCCTGGCAGATCCAACTTTCCAACAAGATAATGCCCGACCACATGTTGCAAGAGTCACAATAGACTTCTTTTAACAT